GGTGGGGGTGGACCAGGTATGGTAGACGGGTCTGGGCTGGTTTGGCATGGGTTTGGACGGATTTTGTTTGGGCTTGAGTATCTTCTGGCCCAAATTTGATTTCCTCTTTTTTATTAACTCTTTTTCTTTTCTTTTCTTCTTTTTTTTTTCTCAAAATTAAACTTAAAGAGCCTACATTAAATTATAGAAGACCTAAGTTAGCTTAAAAATATTAATTAACTTTAATTAACACCCATCACAAACAATTAAACACTTAAATTAAAAGAAAATCACACAATTTGACCAAAATACAAATAATATGTTATTTTTGTGAATTTTTATTTTTGTAAAACACCTAATTATTAATTAATTCCAAAATATAAAAATCCAATCCTAAATGCAAATTCTATATATTTTTGTATTTTTAATGCATTAATAAAATTAAACATGCACACAGATCTATGCAAACAAACAGGAAAATCGCACAATATTTCCTAAAAATAACACATAATTAAAGAAAAGACCTAATTTTGGGAATTATTTTGGAGTAATTCGTATGAGGCAAAATTCACGTGCTCACAATAGGTACTCATCATTACACCTATATGCCACTCAAATGGATTTCACATAGCAAATAAGTCAAGGGTTCCTAATCCCTCGAGTCAAAGTGAGACACGACACTTACCTCGCTCTACGAGCCACGCAATGCTCAATTATCGCTTTTTCTCTAGTATCTATCTTCAAATCACTCGTATCTTACCACAATTAACTCAATAACATCAATTATCACTAAAGGAATCAACTAAAATGCATAAATTTAGAATTCCCAAACTTTCTCCCAAAAAAGTCAAAAACCGACCCCGGACCCGCTTGGTCAAAACTCGACGTTCAGATAAAAATCCATTTACCCATTCACCCCCGAGCCGGGATATATAATTGATTTTGGAATTCGACCCCAATTCGAGGTCTAAATCCCTAATTTCTCAAATCCCTAGTTTTTACCCAAAAACCTCCAAATTCTACCATGGAAATCTTAGATTTTAGGTTGGAAATTCATGAAATGCGATGGGAAATTGAAAGAAAATGGGTAAGGATCACTTTCCAAAATTTTGGAGAAGAATTGGTCTTGGAAGAATCACCTTTAGGGTTCTAGGATTTGAAAATTTGAAGAATGAATGAAAAATCCCGTCTAACTTCACTTTTACACAGTTGCAGATGTCGCATTTGTGACTATTGTGAAGCTCGCAAATGCGAGAAACCTATATGACTCATTTGATTACGTCTATATGAAGATCCCTAAAGGATTTAAAATGCTTGAAACATATAATTCAAAGTCTCAGAAAATGTACTCGGTCAAATTTTAAAGATCTTTGTACGGTTTAAAGCAATCTGGACGAATGTGGTATTATCGCCTCAGTGAATATTTGCTGAAAGGAAGTTACATATGTAATGTTATTTGTCTATGCATTCATAATTTGATATACTTAGTGTTTATGTTGATGCCATAAACCTTGTTGGAACTTCAGAAGAGCTCCAAAAAGCAATTGAATATCTTAAGAAAGAATTTGAGATAAAAGATCTTGAAAAGACAAAACTTTATCTTGGTCCGCAAATTGTACATTTAGCGGACAAAATCTTTATCCATCAATCTGCCTATACAGAAAGGGTCTTAAAATGCTTTTTACATGGACAAAGCGTACCCATTGAGTACACCAATGGTTGTTCGATCACTTGAAGTGGATAAAGATTTGTTCCAACCTCCAGAAGAGGATGAAGAACTCTTTGGTCCCGAAGTACCCTATCTCAGTGCAATTGATGCACTAATGTATCTTGATAATGCTACAAGGCCTGACATAGCATTTTCTGTTAATTTACTAGCAAGATATAGTTCTTCTCCTATACGGATTAAGAATCCGTTCTTACCTCCAAAAGAGGATGATGAACTCCTTGGTCCTAATATACCCAAATCTCCGCACTGTACTCTCTTTCCCTTGCTCAGGTTTTTTTTCCACTAGGTTTTTCCTGGTAGGTTTTTAATGAGGCAGTTTGCAATGTATATTATTAGTGTACTCTTTTTTCTTGACTAGGATTATTTTCCCCAAGGGGTTTTTCCTAGTAAGGTTTTAACGAGGCACATAATAATGAACATCTAAGGAGGAGTGTTTTGAAAATATTTTTGTGGATGTCCATTTATTACTACGATGTAGATAATTTTCCTGAAGAAGATTATCCATTTAGTACTCCATTGAAGTTTTCTACAAGCAGCTGATGCAGGCAGGTTGCAAGCACCTCAATGAAATGACTTGTAGCAGCTTCTTGGTTTGATGAGAATAATTTAAATTGATCTGAAACAGTGGTGAATAATATTCTCTACAAATTCAACTTTTGAGAAGATGTTATACAAGATTGGAATGCGGAGACTCGAATATTTGAAACAAGGTTTTCATCAGGGGGAGTAAAATACGCGATACACTCTTTTTTTCTTACTAAAGTTTTTTCCCACGGGGTTTTCCTTATAAGGTTTTTTCCCAACGGGTTTTCCTTATAAGGTTTTAATGAGGCACCTAGCAATGCGTATTATTAAATATGTGTACTCTTTTTCCTTCTCTAGGATTTTTTCCCACGGGATTTTTCCTAGTAAGGTTTTAATGAGACACATTATCTTTTAATGAACATCCAAGGGGGAGTGCTATAAATATATATTATATTATGGATGTTTATTCAGTACTCCGTTGTAAATAAGCTTCCTGAAGAAGCTTATCCATATGTGACTCCGCCGGAAATATGGTTATCTATTTAGTACTCTATTGGAAATAAGCTTCCTGGAGAAGCTTATCATTTCGGTACTCTGTTATGGATAAATATTACCCCCGACAGAAGATTATCTATATTTGGTACATTAGCAGCTTACAAGCAACTTACAAGAAGCTTACACACTAGCTCGTAGTAGCAGCTTACAAGCAGCTTACACAACAGCTTGCAGTAGCAGCTTATACAACAATTTCCTTTCTTTTATAAATAGAGGAGATTTCAGTTCATTATGTACATGAATTTGAAGTTGAATAATAAATCTCTCTCTACTTGTCTTTGATTTCTTTACTTTGAAATCTTTATTTTATAACACAGCCTACTAATAATATATTTTGCTAAGCTGTGAATTTCAATTTATTGGTCAAGTGGTCAAAACGTCAAAACTAAGTTTGACGACTGTGATAGACAGCCAAAAGGTAATTGTTTTTAATTATGTATATGGAATCTTTGTCACAATTGTGTCTATAAATTTAGAAGATACAACAGATTCGAAAAAAATGATTTCTTTATATATATAGGACTTAATGTGTTTCTTGCACATATAGGTCAAATTAAAATACAGTAAGAACATAACATGACATTTTGTATAAAAAAGTATGCATATATATTTTTAAAAAAATAGCTCGATACATAAAGTATTCCGCACTCATGCAAAGTAAGAGAAAAATGGTTAATTGAAAATAAGAGAGGTTAAGAACAACTTTTGCAAAAAACATAATATTGTTAAGTGAAACTGTTGAAAATAATTAAGATTATCAGTTTGTCATCACAAGGTTAAAAACTTTCATAAAAGGTAAAACTTTAAATTGAAAGAGTTGATTTCTCTTCGTGTAGCTACAAAAAGGTTTCAGTTGCTAAGTTTGAAGAGTTAATTTTTCCAAAGTTTGAAGAGTAAAGCTAGATTAATGGTCCTTATATTTGTAATAACGTCTATGTTTACTACTCTAACCTAAAAGATGGCGGGTTCCTCATGCAGTGTTTAGAACGAAATTTGAAGGAACAAAACCAAGAAAAGATTATTATTTTTTGGTTGGGTTTATCTACTCGATATCCAGTATCTGCATTGGAGCTTGACTATTTCTGAATTCATGTAGCGTAAGGCCCATTTAAGGAGAAAACGCTCCCGAACAGGATTTTTTCCATAACCATAGTTCGAACAAGATTCTTCTAAAGGAGAGATCATATCCATCCCACCACAACCCATGCCGGTTAAAAAAACAAGAAAAGATGATCTTTGATTCATACTCATCATTGTCTTTACAAAACAAACAATTTGATTAGGCAATCGATTGTTAGGGAATATTTGTAATAAGGAACTTGTAAAATGGAGTGTCATGATAAGTTAGTCTAGATTGTTAGATTTAGAATGCGTGTGATGTCATATGTTTTTCCTTCTTTCGTGATTTCGTCTATATTTTGCATTCAAGTATATTATATTATACACTAGCCTAAATGTATCATTAGAATTAAGACCTTATTATCGACACTAAAATTTGTGTTTAGTCTATTTGGCGCATGCATTCACTAATCCATTAACTCATTCATAATACATTGTTATGACATTATAATTAAGTTCTCAATATTGTCAAGAAATATTGGCTTTGGTCAATCTTACTTATAAAAATCAATATGCATTAGGTTGAAATTTCAGCAAATATATAATTCGAATTCATAATTTCAAAATCCAGTAAATTCAACCTAAAAATTTTAAAGGTTGAAAAATCCGGAATTTGCCTCTTAATCATCAATGTAAACTAGTGACCTACCAATAATTCTCTCTTATCATGTTTATTCGGTCATTCCAACATAGCTACATTTTGATCAATGATGCAAATATAGATGCATGTTGTTTAAGTAAAATTATAAGAAAATACATAGAATGAGTAAAAAAGACAGTCCAGTGTACAAAGTATTCCGCGTTCACGCAGGGTGCGGGGAAGAACCACACCCCCAAGGGAGATGTTGTAGACAATGGCGAAGCCAGGAATTTTCTGAAGGGTGTTCAAACTTGAAATAAGTAAACAAAAAATTCCAACAAAGGGTGTTCAATATACGTTATGTACCTCCAAAACCGAATATTTTACTTATATACGCAATGTTATTTCCGACAAAGGTGGTCAATTGACCGCCCTAATTTAAGCGCGGCTTCGTCCTGGGTTGTAGATAATCTACCATAATACAAGCATTAGTAATTGCTTCTATAGCTCGAATAAGTCACATAGAAATAATTTTATGTTGCTCCAAGGCTCCCAAAACACATAGAAGGAGTGTGAATGACAATTCGCAAATATATTATATAAAAAAACATATGAAGAAATTAGGGAGGGGGGAAAAAAGGAAATTAGACAATTGCTAAAATAATGTTGCAAACTAGGTATATTGTATTATTATGACTAATCTTTTGTCTCCTCTGGTTTAATTGGTTCTTCAGCAGTAGCACTAGAGCCTTCTTGATCATTTTCATTTTTCTTAATTGAAGCAGTTTTGCTGAGATGGTTGTAGGAACCTTTTTCTTTGAATAATTGAGAGAAATGAGGTTTGCAATAGAGTCGTCCATCAAATGCAGCATAAGATGATGTTGTAAGTTTGCAACCTCCATGTCCACATTTGAAGCATAATTTGTGGTACATTTCACCATCCACTGTCACCTGCATGCATGTGTTAATTTTTTTGAATAAAAAGAATTTATTCAGAGGCAAATTTGAGATTTTAAGTCAATATTTGTAGAGCCACTATATTAGGAGTGAAAATTTGAGTCGAAACCCATTGAATCCGCCCACTCATTCAAGGTTGAGCCTAGACCTGTTAAATGAGCCGACCCGACCCGAACCCGAACGCGTTGACTCTTGGCCCATGAGTCCTCAACCGGGCCGAGCCGGTTCACTTTCTTATAGGGGCCGGTTCGGATTTGATCCATTAATCAAAATATGTTGACCCGACCCAGACCCGTAACCCATAATCCCTTAACTCGAGCCCTTATGGGCCGAATCCAATTTAATTAAAAAAAGTTAAAATCTAATAAACAATAAAATTTTCAAGCTTTATACATATATACGAACTTGAAATTACTACATGTCCTTGAAACCCATTAGAATAAAATAAAAGAAAAATCATACTTCGTTAACATGAAGACTTGAGAAACATATGGAATTCAATTATTTCTATAACTAATAGTCTAAACCATATGGAATTCAACTATTTCGACAAGATGCCTCATAGTGTTTGATATTATATTCTTTCTTCAATGTTTGGATTCATTTTTTTAACCACTTGTCTGAATATATATATATGTGTGAGCTGGTCCGGGCCGGTTGACCTGTGGGTCAGCTACCGGTTCCAGTCCGGTCCGATTCAGTAGTCAAAATATTATAGCCCGGCCCAGGTCCATTAAATTAATGGGTTGGTCCGGTTAGGGTTTCATGGGTCATGGGCCGATTAACGGGTCAATTTTAATGGGTTATGTGGGCCGATTCGTGGGTCGACCCGGCCCATTTGACAGGTCTAGTTGAGCCGTTCATTATTGTACTCAGTTCATCTTGACTCATTCCATCTCAGCTCATTTAAAGTTGGTTGATTTTTAACTCAAAATGATTCATGAACACCTTTGCTAAAATATTTTTTAAATGATTCTTTTTATTTTATTTGCTATATATGACAATAACAAAAGAAAAAAAATCGTATTTGATAATTTAATAATTCATAAGAAAATAACACACATTAATTAATTAAAGAAAAAATGACATTGGATATTCGCTCTCAAAATAATAGCCGAAAAATATACATTTTTTTGTATATATATACATTCTATATTTTATATATAAAACTTATACAAATTTTATACACTTTTTCGTCTACCAAATATAAATAGTTTCTGGCGCGAGCTAAAATTGAAAAGAGCCTTTAATGGACTATGACCCAAGTTTTAGCCCATCTTGACTCAGTTTATCTCAGCTCAAGTAATTTTTGAAAGGGTCATTGGCCCTTCCATTTATTGATTCATTCATTTTGACCCCCACAAATCAGCTCAACCTGCCCATTTGACGCCCTTACACTAGGTAATTCATCCATAACTACTATGGACGAATTGAAGGTAGGAACTTGATACTAAATCCTACTAGCAACCCACTTATGTATATATCAAACTCTGATTCTTGAATAAAAAGAACTGAATATATGTTGACATTAATCAGTTCGAAATAGGGGTAAAACAAAATAAACTACTTACCTTTTCTAAGGGGTAAACTGTCTTCTTACATGCGGCACATTTATCTTGAGTACCAGAAAAGAGAGCCGAAACTCTGCTAGGGCTTCTGTTCTGTAATAACACAAGTATACAAAGAATAAATATCGTTGTTATGCCATAATAATATTTAAAAAAAAAAAACAAGAAAATAAAGTGGAGTCAACATGTGATATATATACATAAATATAATTTTTTGACATAACTCCGGCGAAGGAGTGCCAATTGGTACCCCTTCGTATAAGGTGGCTCTGCCATTGATTGTGCTCCACCGGTAAAACAAAGATTATTGTTTTGAAGGAAAAAAAACTAGTCAAATGAAAATAATATTGAGAAAATGAGTAAATGTTGTCAAAATTTTTTTATCTAGCCCAAATATATGTGATACGTATGAACATTAAAGTGCATGGTACAAGATATAAGATTAATATTATTGTATTGATTTAAGATGAATTTTCTCTGATCACAATATTAATGCTACACGTAAAAATATTTTAGCGCATGTAAATATATGATACGTACCAGTTCATTTAGCTTCCCCACTGCTCAAGAAATAAGAAAAATAAACAAATAATTAGGCTAGGAAATTAATGAATAAAAATTGTTGGCCTTTTTAAAATGCATTAATTAAAACGACTAACATGATGTAGAATGCTTCAACGAGGCACCTCCTTTCTCCTTGAGGATTTGTTCAAAATGAGGCTTGCAATATAAAACTCCATCAAGGGTTGAATAATTGCTCAACTGTAATCCCAAAAATTAAAATAAATGTATTATAAGAAGCTTAAATTTAATATAAAAATACCATTAAAAACTGTAGATAGCAAAATATTCGATTCTGTTACTCAGATTCTCTTATGTACATGAAAATATACATAAGAGATTATACACAAAAAATAAAAAAAAATAAAAATCTTACTGCAAGCCTTCCATTGCAATGGTTGCACCTAAAGCATGTATTATGATAAACAACTCCATTTGTAGAAATCATCTCTGCAATATAAACAGTTTTTTCACAAGCTTTACATTTCTGTTGGCTTCCTGAAAATGCCATTTTTCTTTTTGATTATTATTTCAAGTCTAATTGGGAATTGAGATTTGAAATCCTTTTCATTCAAAAGTCTATAGCAAGGATTTCAATCTCTAAATTCCCAAAGTTATAACAATAGAAAACAAACAAAAAATATTAGTAACATGGTTTGCTATTTCTTTCCACTAATTAGAACAAACTCCATAAAACGAGTGGAGAAGCAAATTTTTTGCTAACGCTGAAGCCACGTAATGAAAAAGTAGTTAATTCAGTTGGCAGCTAAAATATGAAATTGGAAAAGTAAAAAATAGATCATTTTAAAGAAAGTTTAAAAGATAATTAAAGGGAATGAAAAAGGAAACTTATTACTAATATTCATCGGAAATCAAAGTAAATGTTCACTCACTTGAATAGGAATGCAAGTGATGACACTTATAAAGCATTAACACATAAAGGAAAAACTGTAAACACATAAACATCTAGCAAATAAAATAAAACAAAAATCTTTGCATGGCTGACAAAAGATTTTGGTTGATGTTTGGCACAATTCTTCTTAGTGTCAATTTGATTCCAAATTCGAAAATACACAAATATTAAGACACTTTTGCAAAAATAACCATATTTGCAAAAATAGCGGATATGGTTCCTTCATCCTTAACTAGTGTCTCGGGTTTGAGACTTCAGAAAAAAGAAAAAGAAAAATCCTAGTTGGGAGCTCTTGCTCCTTTAATATTCTTTATTTTAGTGTAAATTTACAGTGGTCAAACGTGATCATAGTGTATGCTCATGATCAATTATTTAAAATTTTAAGTATTATCTATGAATACATAACAGAACTTGGCCAAAGCCAATGGGTGCTTCAGCATCCATACTTCAAAACGTAAATCCGCCACTGTCTTTATGTGGCATGAATCCGGATTAATCACGGCCTCAAAGCGGATATCGGACACCAAGTAAGAAACAAAAAAGAAAATGAAAAATTAACCAACTTAACAGAAATTCTGAGTTTTTGTTCCACATGATTGTTCTTTCAAAAATATAAACAAGAACTTGCTCTATACACAAAAGGATCAATGATTAAGCAATTATACCCAAACAACTCAAAGAAATAAAACTAGAAAAGGTCATGGTAACAAATAAGGAAAAAACACAGTGCTGAGTCTGCATATGACTGTTTTTGAGAAATTTGAAAAAAAGAATTTAGCGGCCAAAGCAACCCAAGAACTTTTTGGGAATTCCAGTTTCACGAAATTTTGCAGCAGTTTCCTCTACTTTTAGAAAATCTTGGCCTCGATTTGCTTCAATGAGTGCCCTCTTCTCTTCTGCTTCCCTATGAATTACAGCCATCTTGTTCTTCATCTTCTCTGCATATTCTGCTTTCTTCCTCTCCAATTCTTCCTGCTCGGATCAGAGGTACATGAGAAAGCATATATATGCTAGAGACATAGTTAAAAGCTTCTTACAAGAGTTAAAAAGAATTGAATTTTCCTTTTTCAGATGTAAAGAAAGTCTTAGAACAATGGTAAAGTTGTCTCCATGTGACCTATAAGTCACTTGTTCGAGTTGTGAAAACAATCACTAATGCTTGTCAGTGGCGGAAATAGGAATTTCACCAACGAGATTCAAAAAATAAAAAAGGTAAACATGCGAAGAAGTTATGGAATTCAACATCTAATATATAAATGAAGAAATAAAATTTGACATTATATACACAGCGTAATTTCGGCGAAGGGGGTTTGACTGAACCCTCTTCCCCCTACCTAGCTCCGAGCATTAGGGTAGTCTGTCTACATCACATCTCTTTGGGTGTGGTCCTTCTCCAAACCCTATGTGAATGCAGGATACTTTGTGTACCGATTGAAAAAAGAAGAAGATATAACTCTAGTGAAAGCTTCACACATGCTTCTTGTAATTAACCAACAAAGTAAGTTCATGTAAATTAGTCTTAGGAAATCAGAAAAATGTGATCTTGAACTAAACAAGCAACAGTAATTTCTTTCATATATTAGTATTTAGTAAACTAGCAAAAGTAATTCTTATCCCTAACTCATTTAGCTATTAAAAGTGGAAACAATAGGAAGTTGCATGCTTGATCAGTAAAAAATGACACCAGGGTTAAAAAAAAAAACTCAAAAAGTGACAGCAGTTAAATGATATGTACTCAGTAAATCAAATTTTCACCTCAATTTGTTTCAGCTCAAATTCTATAGTTGCCTTCTTAGTGTTCTCCCAAGCTCCAACAGCAGACAACTTTTTAAATGCCCTGTTATTTGTTGAAAATGATGACTATTATTAATAATCCAAAACAAAAACCTTACATGAAAATTGATATCAACAGATAAATAGTGAAATATTTACTGTGACAGTTTAGACGAATCTCACATCGATAAAATACGAGAAAGAAGTTGAGTATATAAGTAAACAAACCTTAAATTCTAGTGACGCATTTTAAAGTCATGTGACCTATGCCAAAAGCGAATAGTATCACCAGTGGAATAAACTATTATACATACATATATAGGTGTTGCAAATTCCTGTGGATTGTCATCCTTTATTCTAAATAAGCATTTCATTTAACATTGTGATATTTACGTGTCAATTTTTATTTCCTAAAACAATTTTTCCATGACCTAGATGAAATAAAATTACAGGACCATAGACTAGTACAGAATGCCAATAATTCCTAGAAAGTTAGATGTAACACTATTGAAGGCACATTCAGTTCATTTTGTGTTCACCTAACAAATAAAAAAGTACGCTTATTTTCTCTTTCGTTTTTTTTTCTTTTTCTGTTGATATTGATTGCCAAAATGAATGAATGAATGAATAAATAAATAAATAAATAAATAAATGAATAAAAAGGAATAGAGTGGGATAGTCAGGAGGGGAAAATCATATGGAGTAGTACTTATTATCAGCCTTTGCTTTTTCATTGTCTTCCCATGCCTTGATCAAAGCCAATCTTTTCTCTGATTCAACTTTTACAAGGGCAGCATCTGTAAAACCAAAAATACCATAATAAAATTATAAAAACCAATAATCGTTTCAACAGTAAAAAGGACAGTCCGATCTACAAAACATCTCGTGTTTATGTAGGGTTTGAGGAAGGGTTGCATCTCAAGGGTATGACGTAGATAGTCTACCCTAATGCAAGTATTAGGGGCTACTTGTACGACTTTAACCCGTGACCTATAGGTCATAGGAAGATAAATTTATCGTTGGTTCAATACTTCCTTTCCGCGGTAAAATAGGGAAAGTTATTTAATGGGGAATAGGAATATTAAAGTAAAAGATTTTGAGGGGAACAGAAACAATACTTACAATATTAACTTATTAAGCCTTTTACACTATAATTTTTCAATTAATGGTACCTTTAAAGATTTCACTTCACCAACCTTTATTTTTCTTTTTTTTTCTAAAAGCTTATTCTTAATAATTCCCTTAACCAGACAGTTTCCAAAATGTTCTCATTTTGGAAATAATTCTCAAAAATACCCCATAATTTTATAAATGAAAAATAATAAAGGCGAATTAATTGGTCAAAACCAAAAACACAAAAAAAATCAGCTGACAAATTTACCTCTGTCGTTGGAATTCCCTGTACTTTTCTGAATTCCAGAATCTGCAGCCTCTGTCAAAAAAACAAGATTTTAACCAATCAACACTCCTTAAATTAAAATGGCAAAAATTAGTCCTCAAAGCTACAATAAAGGGTCGCCCAATATACAAAGCATCCCGTATTTACGTAGGGTTTGAGGAAGGTAGGATGCGATGTAAATAGTCAATCCTAATGCAAGCATTAGTGACGGCTTTTACGGCTCGAACAAGTGACCTATAGATCACACAAAGACAACTTTACCGTTGCTTCAAGCTCCCTTTCATCCTCCAAACTACAATATACAGTGACAAACCAAGAAACAGAAAGACAATTCTCTTATATGTAAGCAAAAAATATACACAAAATACAATAAACAAAAAATATTTTAAAAATGAAAATTATATACTTTCTGGAGCAAGAGGAGGAGGTTTGGAGGGAGAGATTTGCTCTTTATTATCCTCTATAAATGGAACAAGAGCAAGAGCATTTTCTTCAACTTTCTCTTTTGGCTCATTTTTGTTGTCATTTTCTTGAGTTTCTTGAGAATTTATTGGAGAAACTACAAGAGTTGCTTCTTCTCCCATTGATTCTATCTTAAATGAAAATGTTGTGTTGTGTTTTTGATATAAATATACTAAGCCCAAATAAGAGTAAAATGAAAATACAGAAAACAAAAGAAAGATAAAGGAAGTAGAAAGAGAGTAGGTAGAAATAGATATAAAGGAAGCTGCCAAAAAAGGTTATATAGAGATAATCATAGATAGGGAAGGATTATCTTTCTCTAATGTTAATAAGAATTCTTATGAAAGTTAAACTCTTTTTAAAATTTTGAACTTGATACAGATAGATTTTTTTCACATTATCTGTGATTATAAGTTAGTTATCATTTTTATCAGATTACTTATTTATGCTTATCAAATATTTATATAGTATACAAACATTTTTGCATCATCATTACATAAGTAATTAAACTCTTTTTCAAAAGAACAGTTTGGGAATGTATCCACCTTAATTTGACTGTTACACGAACCATAATGGTTCCGACTTAATCACATATGAATTTTAAATTACAAGTACCTACACCCCAAGTTTTGTACACGGCACTCAACTCACAAGTCACAATCATTTTACGCCACACTAATGAGTAAATTAAAAAGGTTAAATAATTAACCCAAGTAGCCACCCAGCTAATTTCTTAAATTGAAAATAGTCGGCGGATATAATATATATATATATATATATATATATNTTCAGTTACAAAAAGTAAACAATAAATTTGACTGGCTATTTATGTAACAATCTTTTTTTTTCTATCTGTCTAATTGTTTGTGGATAAAACTATCTAATAATTGTGCTGATAGGATGTAAGAGATACCCCGTGAAATTAATGGAAATGAGCACATCACGGATATAAAAAATAAAAATTAAAAAGAACATGACAATTGTTCTCAAGAAGAATGTTGATTGAAGAAATTATTATCTTTTCTCCGATCCGGTCCACAATAAGTGACCAATTTTCTTTTGGCACGTCCATTAAGAAAATACTAAATTCTATACAAAAATACCTAGTATGACTAAACTACTCTTAGTTAAATATTTAATGTGAGGAGTAAGAAAACTTTTTAGGGATATGTACATAAGGATAATTTTGTAAAAACAAATTGAATTTTTTTTATTATATAAATGGACACTTATTTTGGACCAAAATAAAAAAGCAAATTTGGTCATTTATTGTGGACCGGAGAATATCTAATTAGCCGGTATTAGTCATCAACTAGATTTTCGAGGTAATGAAATAAGTAGGAGTAATTAATTAGTAGTAAAAGTTAGTAATGCTGATGATATTCTGTCTTTTGCTTTCCTTGTTTTGCCAATTGTAAAGCATCAGCGTTTACGGTTTCCTGATTCTTGACACATAAGGCAATCGTGCTTTATCATCTAAAGTTGACAAGTAATTAATCTTTATTAATTCTCTGGGACTATATTATATTTAAGGTTGAATAGTTCAACCCTTACGAGTACTATTTATACAACACTGACACATTTGTGAAAGTTGGTATTCTATAGCGTAATACGCAAAAGATAACGCCAACACACTAATTGATGACGAATGAATTAACCTCATTGGCAAAAATTTAGGTGGTGTTTAGATATGATTTTGGTTCAGTTTTTAGAAATGATCTTTCTAGGAAAAGAAAAAAAAAAGCTCTTTCGTTCGGATCAGTCTCTAGGAAAATGTTTTTCTATTTTAGTTTTGAGATACTTTGCATTGGACATGCTGGAAAAGTTTCCCGAGGTTTGAAAGTTTGACTAGGTTTTGTTTTTCGAATTTTGATATATAAATGTAAACCAAACTAATCAAATCTTTATATAGTTAAACAATCCCTACAAAATGATAGTACTTATCTTTTACCCCAAAACTTTTCACCCTAATTATAGGCTTTTAATAATTTATTACTGAACCTTCGGCACTAATTTAGCGGCAAAAGTCAGATTGATTTGGATTTGGATAATGTTATAGTAACTAAGCCAAACGGACCAAATTCATTTTCTCTTTTTTTTACAGAATTGATGACAATTAGAAAATTTGTGATCATAGTTCTTCATTAAATAAAGACGAATGTCTTCACGATGTTGCGACTTGCGAGACGCCTGCGTTGAATGTGAACACTCTCAGGGAAAATAGCATGGACTAGTAAATTTTTGGACTGATAATTGAAAAATATTAGGGGTATACAAACCAAACCGAAAAATCGCACAAAACCGATTAAAAACTCCGACTTGATTTGCTTTAATTTGGTTTGGTATTGAGTAAAAAAATTTGAACCAACCCGACATATAAATATATAATTTTTATATATACTTTTAAGATTTTATATAGAATTTTCTTTAAAAAAAAGTCTAGAAATACTTAGGATTCTCTTGCGGGATATAAATTTTAAAAGAATATGAAGTGCTCCATATTTATTGACCTTAAATAATGGGTTGTATGATCACTTTCTTATCAAGTGTTACTGAAATGTGTCTATCTCTTTGTTCTTCCGTATTCATATCATATGTTAAGATCTATTAAGTTCTTACTATATCTTTTTCAAATGTGAATTGATTATTAATATTTAGGTATCATATTGATTTTTATGTTTGATTACTAAATTCGGTTAACCTGAAAGTGCATATCAACGCAAAATTATTGCCAGATGACTAAAAAAAATAACTTTTATGTATTACTAAATTCTCCCATAAGAATATTTTAATCGATAATATGTTTGTCAATTTTTTATATTTTTGCTAAATATATATTTACTTATCAAATATTTAACAAAGTAAGATTGGAATAATATGTAAGCAACAAAAAATCCGAAAAATCAGACAAAATTGAACTAATCCAAACCGATATAGTTAGTTTAGTTTTGATAAAAATCGAACTAACCCGGTCCATGTACACCCCTAAAAAATACCATCATTTTCAAAGTCATTAAAAAATAATCACTATTTTGCGGAAAACGCCAAAAGTTCTAGTATAATATGTTGGATTATGGAGCTCCTACGTATAAACTTCCAGCATATTATGTTGAAACTCCAGCACACGAAAGCTCCAGCATAATATGCTGGATTATGGAACTCCCGTGTATAAACTTCCAGCATATTATCTTGAAACTCCAGCACATTATGAAATTCCAGCACATTGTGATGGAATCTCATATGTAAAAATTTTGAACTCTAGCGTATTATATTGGAATTTTTTCGAACTTTTAATGTTGTTTTTGTTCAGATATGTTTACATGAAAAAAAATTACTTTTGAAACAGTAGTTATTTTGTTATTACCAATTGTAAATTTGACTATTTTTAATTTTTTTGTGAAACTATCATCTATGTCCATTTATAAGTAACTCATTACAAAAATTGACCAATTTATAAAATATTAATATTAGCCAATTAACTATTTGTAACAAAAAATTCAAAATTTGCTCTTTTTTTGAGTGGGTGTTATTAGAATAGATTGGGAACATCTTAAGGAGCTTGAATCTCAATTTTGGGATGATTTTGTGAAGTTTTGAGGTGGTTTGAATTGAAAATTCGAAGTAAAAACTGAACATGAAAAAAAAATATGTGTCTCATTTGTGTATCACTTGTGTATCACATGTATACCTATGTGTGAGATACATGCGTGATACATGTGTCGCAGAAATTTTTTTTTAACTCGATTTAATTACGAATTTTGATATAAAACCCACCTCTAATTTTCCTCAAATTTTATATATTGACTTATCTATATGTTTTCAATGAATTTCAACAATACTCATTGAAAAAGTTCTTTTTTTGCTTAGATTTTTGGAATATTGTATTTTTTTTTGTATTTCATCACCTTATTTGCTATCTCATTCATGAAATTTCCTTTCCATCGTGTATCTAATGTTGCTAATCACACTTAAAAATATGGAAGGAGATTTTTGCATGTGATTCTTTGAGAGAAAGAACCTTATTTATTTGGTTTTTTAATTTTTATATGTGCTTGACTAGTCTTGGTAAGTCTATGACTAATGGCTAAAGGTTGATAAGTCGAGACTTATTTGAGACATTTGTGTAAGTTTTTCTAATTTTTTTCCCACACTCGCACGTAGGGGTGGCAAATGGGCGGGTTGAGTTGAACTTGGACGGGTTAAAATGGGTTAGGTCAATAAATGGGTCATTGTCTAACCCAACCCTAAGTGTACTTGGGCTAAGATAGGCTGGGTCAAGATGGGCTAAACAATAGGTCATAACCCAACCCGCCCAACTTGACCCATATTTTAGAACCATACTCATCTTGTATAAAAAAGTCTTTTCCCTTAAAATGTATAAGTTGAAAAATATTTTGAGGGTGGGGGGTTGGGGTGGGTGAGTTGGGTTGGGTGAGTTGGAGTGGGTGGGTGATGCAGAAAAACGAAAAAATAGAAAACAGAAAATTGAAAATACAAAAAAAAGTAAAAAAAAAAATTGAGGGAGTTTGCGCGGAGTGGTGCAGAAAAACAAAGAAAAATAGAAAAATTGTAAATACAAAAAAAAAGTAAAAGTAAAAGAAATTTTTTTGAGGGAATTTGCGCGGGGGGTGGTGGGAGGTGATAATTGCACGGGGCGCCCTATTTGGTCGCCCCATTTAATATATACCCATTTTTAAAAAAAGTTTTAACCTGTACCCAGTTTTTAAACAACTTCAGCCCCTTTCTCCTCCTCCTCCTTCGTTTTCTTCTTTTTCTTCTTCTATTAACAACTGAAAGACACTATGATTAATTCTCTAATACTACCACCATTTCTTATGTTTGACCTAATTAAGCAACCTTCAATCAATTATTTTCTGTGTTTATCCTATTTCTCAACCACTGCTAGTCACTTTTCTGGCATCCCAGAAGTTGAGTCATTCTAGTAACCCTTTCCATTCAATTTCTAGTATCCTGCAATGAGTATCCGACGGTTATCAGGCTAGCTATTTTCATTCTGGTGAATTTCCAATTTTCCACAACTTAGTAAGCATGCTTGTTCCTTTGAGCGGCAAATGCTTACTGAATGTATTTAGCTGGCTCAAGCAGGTCCCTGTATCGCCAGTTACAAAACAAAAACTTCATCTCTAGAGAAAAACAAAAATTTCAGTCTCGTCTACTAGAATGCTGAAATTTTGTGTGATTGTCTTTGTTATTTCAGCCCCGTATGCTG